AGACCCATAAATAACTATACAAATCTAGCCGATTATTTCACTACGAAGTTAATTTAGTTTCTTTTTCCTCCTTTATTAACATTACAGCAATAATCACGTATAAATATGCAGATATACATAAATATCAAGTTTATTTCACAGGATTCAATCGATGATTTATAGTTGAACAAGCCGTGTTCTAATAGATTGACCCGAGTTTTGCCGGTTTTGAGGGTTAAATTGAAATGAAATGAAAGTGATCAAGCTTCGAAGTTTCGCGCAACGCGCTCCCAGTGAAACGTAAAGATCGTCGTGCATCGACGGATAAGAATTTACGACGAAGTTGATTTTTTTTCTGAGTTGGAAAAACAAGGTCGTCGAACGGTTGTTGCGCGTACTGTCGCTTTTCGTTTTTCCTCGAGGTATGGCACGTAACTGTAAAAACGACGTGAACGATGCAGCGGGGCTGGTTTTTCCGTTTGAAAGACAGATTAGAAAGAAAGGGTTAAGGGGAAAGTTTTTGACGAGGCCTTTACGGCTTCGAGATTTTTTTTCTCCCCTTGCGAAGAAGTTGAAGGATTAAGAGGTTATGAGGTTAAGATTTACAGTACTTTACGGTACTTGTCTAGGCTAGTCGAAGGCTTCATTCGACACGCTTTACATATCATCTTCAGGAAAGATACGAGGGATAGTAAATTTTGTGAAACCTTCGTTTCTTCCTTCATTTTCTATCTTCTTCTACTGGAAAGAAATCATGCAGCTCCGGTAAAATAAAACATTTTATTCTCTTGCCACTTTCTGTTAATTTGCAGAGAAACCCTGGGGACATTCCAGACTCGCAGAGGAACCTCGGACGTTTTCAGTAATTTTGGAACCGGGATCATCGAGTTTGGCTAATAGCTTTGTCAGAGGCACGGGAAAGGGTGCGATCTGTCTAACGGGAGAGAAAGCAGACTGCGCTCGACGGAAACAGAAAGGGGCGCGCACGCGTATCCACCTATTCCTCGTTGCTTTCCCTCCAACTCGAAATCTCTCACGCTAATTAGAAGGATTTTCCTTACTTCTAAGATTCCAAAAAAAAAAAAAAAAAAAAAAAAAAAAAAATATCCCCCCCAAAAAAAGAATTCCAATTCGAATGTAATTTTAATTAATTAGAATTTCTCCCGTTTGAGACAATTCTACGAATTCTAAAATAATTTCACGCTAATGAAATGAAATCCCGAGGTAATAAAAACGTCGATGTACACGGTGTGGCGAGAATAAAACAATTGGGAAGGGTTGGAATGGCGAGAAGGCGGGAAAAAACGTCCAACGACGTTGGAGAGATGAGTGGTAAAGTGTTGTCAAAGAAGTCGTAGAAGGGTCAGCGAAGTGGTTGGTTAGCAAAAAGTGCGGGAAGCTTTGAATTCACAGGAGTCACGGCGTTGTTAAGGGTGGGGTACTGAAAAACCTCTATGAATCCGGACAATGGCCTAGCTGCGATTGGACGAGCGGCTCGGGCTGCGAAGAAGGGAGAGGGTAACTGCCCCTTCGGCACGATCTACAAATAGGCATAGGTATTTCATTTTGGGACTTAGAGTACAGTTGTTAGTCTATCTTGAACATTCGGTCGATACTCAAAGTCCGAATCGAAAGACTGTGAGTTTGAAGTGCGATACAGTTTCACTTGCGTGTTGTTTTGATCGTGATTTCACTCCAGTTTGTATTTCTCTCTTGCTAGACATTGAAGCAGCAACATGTGACATGTGACATCACTAATGTTTATCAAATTAGTACTAACTAACTGCTAGTGCGGACGATGCGGAATCAATTCGCTAATTCTGAGGATCACTTCCAGAATCAGTTCGACAACCGAGATTACTTCATTATCGAAGCAGAACGGAAGTTCGAACGGAAAGCTGAAGCGGAAAAAGTTTGAGACTCCAAGTTCCAGGTACGTTCGTTCGTTTTTTTTTTTCTCTCTCTTTAAAATTTGTTCGTGCTTAGTTATGTAAGTACGACTCGAGCATGAGAAAGAAATGTGATTCAAACGGGCGAATCGATTTTGCAAGAACGATCGCCGATCGTGAACGAGACTCTCTCTCTCTCTCTGGTCTTCCCTTTCGCGCCTGTGTCCGATCGTTCGGCATTCGAGCATGCATTTTTTACGCTATTCGTTTGTTCGTTTCCACGACGGATAAAATGAAACGTTTTCAATTTCCATTGTGTGTGTGTGCCGCAGAGATTCGTACAATCGGTACGGCCGATATTTTAAATTCCTCCTCCTCGTCGAGCTCCACGCGAGAGTCATTAACGTTCCCGTGGTTCGAAGGTACACGCGCGTGCCGAAAATCGGCCGTTTCGTTTCGTTCGCGTGTTTCGAAAAGTGTCGATATACGGCAATAACATCGCGTTACAGGATCGAAACAAACACGAAGGAAATTCAACATGTCGGGAGCGACAAGGATATTGGAAAAACAAAACGTTATATATTTCCTCCTGAACGTGGTCGCGAGTCTTCTTTCTCTTCGTTGAATTTCTTTTTTTTTTTTT